CAACCAAAGACAAACCAGCGATACTGAAAACATAACCTCCATGGCAGAAGCAAGAATACAGTATAAACCTTAGTATACAGCTGTGGGCAGATGTGAGCAGGCAGTAGATCAAAAGTAAAAGAGCTGCACTCGATCCTAATCAAGTTGTCTAACAATGGTGAGCTGAATGGGTTCATCTTTTTGAATTCGTTGACATGAAATGAGCTATTTTTAAATTTGCTCAACGTCTTTACAAAAGTTATTTATAGCATCAAACACTTGTTCAGATTCTTTAGATCAGCCCTTAATATAAACCTGAATTTTGCATGGGGAGGATTATTCCGTCTCTAGATTTCTGTCATTTAGACTTCCTGTCCTTGTGGTTGGACAGCACCGGTGGCACTGGTATCCCGGAGCCTGGCCCAGTTGGCGTGGACTTTAATCACAGCAGCTGTGGACGTGTCACACTGGGGGGGGGGGGGGGGGGGGGAATCCATGATGGCATGTCTGAGCCCTTTGTTGCAGTCAAGCTGCTGCCTGCTCACCAAGAGGGTGTGATCACACATACAGCGTGTTTCTATTATCCTCAACATGCAGAGGTTGACAAGTTGGATCATTTTTTTTTTGTTCAAATTTACACTTATGAAAATAGAAGTGTGTGGCGTTTCTGTAGAGCTGCTTTAGTGATCTTTCAGCTAAGCAGCTGATAAGTTTAGACAGCTGGGAACAAGAAATCTAATTTGAGTTGCCGTAACCTTATTTAGCGTGATGGACCTCCACAGCTGTATCCGCATGGTTAAAAGAACCAGCTTTACGTATCGCATGTCAGTAATCACCTCATTTTACTCCCTGAATGCCCTTTGTAGAGGAGACCTGAACAGATTTAGAATTAAAGGCCAGAGTTTAAAACCAGTGTTTCTCCTACCATATCCAAGGAGGGCGCCCCTTCCTGTCAACAGAACCGAGCGCCAATGCCCTTCACCCACAAATCCAACCCCCCCGGTAGACAACTGCCAACCCTGACGTAGAGTTAAGCTAGCGGCGCACAATACCGACACGCTAGCTAAGAAGCTAGTGCTGTAGCACTCCACTTCTCTCATAACCGCGCCCAACCAACAACAGCCGGCATTAATGCTGCGCAACTCTCCGTTGACAAAAGTCTTCGAAGACATTAGTGTGCCCTGCCAAGATATATGAGTATGGGGAAACACTGAAGACTATCATCTTAAGATGTGGAAAGATTATTGCTGATGAAATTATTGTAGCTATTTTTGTCCAAACCTTGAAAATAACATGCACGATCCCATGCAACATGTGTCAAACTCAACCCATGGACCATATCTGGCCCTTGTTAACATCATATCTGGCACCCCAAGATAATCTTAAATGTAAAATATTTTATAAATTCTCATTTGGTTTAAAAAAAAAATTCTGATAAATAGTTAATTTATTGCTGACTTCTCGTGACAGTCGGCTAACTTTGAAGCCAGAGATAAAAGTTGTATCTTTGTGTCATCTGTGATTGTGATGTGGATGGATAGAGCAACAGAAAACATCAAATAAAGCTGATCAAAATCTTGATGATAAACCTGCAACCACTCAAATTGGCTTGCGACTTGGACAGACTTTTTAATTTTGGCCCCCTCTTATCTGAGTTTGACACCCCTGTGGGTGGCGTCTAGCATAATCTCTTGGAGTGTGTGTTGCAAGGGACAGTCAGCTACTACCACAACAAATTTTAGTTCAATGTCCACAAAATGTATTGATTCATAGCCATTTTTGTGTTTTCTTAGGTCAGTTAGCTGTAGCAGCCATCCTGATTTAAAATAAATCTAAAAGTTAATAAGTTGTGGAAGTGTATCCTATGATTACTATCTGAAAATGATTTGGAATACATCTGGTGGTGATTACGAGGTTCTGTTCTCAGTTTGCAAATGTCCTCTATCAGAGACTGAGACCTCACAGTCCAAGAAAGCCATCAACACATCAACTCTGTGGATAAATACATCAAGTTCACATGAGAAGATGTAAAAAAAGGGCAGGTTGGCTTTCTTGGACTGTGAGGTCTCAGTTTCTGATAGAGGATATTTGCAAACTGAGATGTACCGCAAACCCACCCATACAGACCAGTATTTGCAGTTTGACTCCCATCACCCTTTGGAGCACACGTTAGGAGTCATCAGGACTCTGTACCACAGAGCAGACATCGTCCCCACTAACTCAGGAGCCAGGCAGAAGGAGAAATCCCACACAAGACAGGCTCTAGAGCAATGTGGATATCCTAACTGGGCCTTCCTGAAAGCAGAGAAGAAACCCAAACAGGACTCCAGTCAGCCAACAGGTGAAAAGGAGGAACCCAGACCAGTGGTCATTCCATATGTTGAGGGAGTAACAGAGAAACTGAGACATTTATTTTCTAAACACAAAGTCCCAGTGGCTTTTAAACCCCAAAATACATTACGGCAAAGACTGGTTCATCCCAAAGATCCAGTCCCCCGGCACAAACAGAGTAATGTTGTGTATGCTGTTCAGTGTCAGGAGGGCTGTGATCAGTCTTACATCGGGGAAACTAAACAGCCACTGGCCAAAAGGATGGCCCAGCACAGAAGATCAACATCATCAGGCCAGGACTCTGCAGTCTACACTCATCTCCAGGCCAGCGGTTACTCTTTCAGGGATGAAGATGTTCACATCCTGGATATAGAGGAACAATGGTTTGAGAGAGGAGTAAAGGAGGCCATCTTTGTGAAAAGAAATCGTCCATCATTAAACAGGGGTGGAAGCCTCCGGGTTCAACTGTCCACCTCTTACAATGCTGTTATTGCTAGTATCACTCAGCCCCCTGTGAATAGTAAACAGCCATCAGTGTGCTAATGATCCATCGTTAGGCTGATGGTCCTTCTTGATCAGGTGAGCTGCTGGTTTTGGTAGTCAGCAGCAAAACTGGTTGATCCACTCTGAGAAGGTGTTATTTATAAGACTGAGCTGTATACAGCACCTCAGACTGAGGAAGTCTTTTGGATGAAAGACGAAATGTTTCTACATTTTTTTGTTGTTTTGCTTTGTTTTGTTTTTTGAATGTCCAGAGGACCATATTAAACTTTTTTAGACATACCCTGAATGCTAACCTATTATATGAAATGTGGCAATATCGCATGAGATTTCACATTGTTTTTTTTTTCTTCAAAGTTTCACCAAACAAACTATAATTCTTGTTTCTCGTTACAAGATGGTCGTAGTTTCAAACTATGGCATGATAGCATAGTGGTGGAGATATGGAAGCAAGTGTTTTAATTAACAACAGCAAATACTTACACCTACATTAATTCTTGTCTTTGCTTTTTTGGTCAATTAGAGAATGGGCTTCCCTTATACTCACCGTTTTATTTCTGTTTTATTATTTCAAACACATTTCACTGATCTTAAAAGTGATCCTATTACCAATCCCCTCAAAACCAGACAACTTCTGAATGAGAAACTGCAACCCAGACTCAGAGAACGGATAGAGGACAGGCGCCTGGAATAAAGTGGGGAAATGGCGGCCTATCCAGGTCAATCCATCCATCACCGTGCAGTTACTCAGACAGAGGACAGCTCCCTGACAGAGGTCTGAGTGCTTTGGGATTGAGATGGAGGAGAGGGAGAGTTATAGCTACACAGTCCTTCTTTTAGAAACATCTTGACAACTTACCCTCATGCAATAAAATATTTTCTTAACACCGTTACATACTGTAATGTATGCGCAGTTTGTCACAGCAGTTTTTGCCAAACTTGTTTTATATCGAATTATTCATTCCATTGTTTCTCCTAGGTCACTTGCCTTGGCAGGGCTCTCATCTCTTGGGGGATTTTTGTCAATGGGGGGTGGAGGGTGTTGGTAGAGGACACCATGTCTATAGCTTTTTAGCTAGCACATCTGTATTGCGCCACTAGCTTAGAGCTACGTCCGTGCTGGCAGTTGTCTGGACTGGGGGTGGCAAAGTTGTGGGTGAAGGACATTTCGATAGGCAGGGTGCTAGATTTTGTTGACAGGGTGGGGTGCCCTCCTTGGATAATGGTAGGGGAAACAGTGCATTCACATATGTGGTCAGAACAAGTTAAATGTAATGCAAGACTACTTAGCAAAGAACTAGAATGTTAAGTGGGTTGATACATTTACTAACAATAAAATATGCGCCTAGTACACCTTATTATATTATATTATTATTGTTTAGTGTGTATCTGAGATCCTTGTGTACTGTTTCTTTTTATACTTTATATTTTGGATACTTTTGGGTGTAACTGGGATCTTGAGTACACAATTTCATTCCACCTCATGTACTACACGAGATGCGAAAGACAATAAAGTCACTTGAAAAAACAAGATTTTAAATATTGGCTAGTTTTGTCACTAGTGCTAATTAGACATACCAACATTTTAAAAGTATGTATGTCATTATTTATGGGCAGTAATTTTTTTATATTCCAAGTCTAGCTAGAATGGGCAGACATTATGATTGTCATGGTCATCTTCTTTTTTTTTTTACAGTGGTAGTGACATGCCAAGCTGTTTCCTAATGGTGCTTTTCCAGATGCTATTATCAACAGAAATCTTACCATTGAAAAAAAAAAACCTCTTTCATCAAATGAAAGAAAATAAAGACAAGTCGGATTAGCAGCAGGACATGTACATTTCTGCAAATTGGTTTTGTTTGTAAGGGTGACTGTTAGGTGTGGTGATTATATGGAGCTAGCAGGACTGAACAGGAAGGCTGAATAGTCAAAGATAATTTGAACAATTACTATAAAAAATTATAAAAACATTTAGAACTCAATTGTTTTTACCATTTGTATTGGCAAAAGTAATAATATACCCAATTTAATAAATTGCCATGAAAGACACCACACAAAAAAATCTTAATCTCTGGGACTGAACATACAAATCTCAAATATCTGACTGGTATTCTTGAAACAAACTGGATTAAAACATTGTGAATTGTTCAGTCCACTATAGCTACTACAACTTTATTAAAAAAAAATGTTTATTTCTTACCCGTATGTGTCCTCTGGTGTGCCTTTAAGTGGGAGCTCTTGGTGTACACCTTCCTGCAACCATTGAACTGGCAACGGTGAATCCTCTTCTTGTTCTCTGGTAGATCTCCAAGCACACATGCTGCCCCCTCATCTTCGTCCTTCATCTGGACAGGAAGTGCATGTCCTGCCACCAGCTGGGCCGCGCTAAGCCCCACCTTCCTGGCCACCAGCTTCAAAGTGAGCGTCCCATCAGCCGTAGCCGTCAATGTCTGGTTGGGTTTGTTGAGGTGTCGGCCCAGTTCTGGCGAAGACGGCGGAGTCAGGGAGGTGACGGCACTCAATTGAGCCTGGTGGACCCCTTCTAGCCCCTCTGCATTTTCCAGCTCCTGTCCTTTGGGTTTGAGGACCCGTGTCATTATGCCAGAGGAAGGTACATTCTGCCGTGCGTGGCACATGATCATTGAAGGTGGACTTGGAGGGTCCTGAAGGTGGGGCAGGCTTGGGAGCAGGGAGTCTGTCAAATCTTCCTCGCCATCTTCCTTTAGGTAGGCTGGAGTAAGGAGGCCATCAAGGTCCTGGTCAAAAAGCTCAGAGAGACGTTTGGGCTCTGTCTGCAGATAACGCTCCAATTCCAGGCAGGTCTAGGGGAGATAAAACAATTTTAGATTCATTTCAGGCAAGTTTACACCTTTAGGCCTATGTACCTATGATCCCTTATGTCCCACTTAACTATTCCCATCAGATCATCTGTAATGCCTTTATATGCTGAGGAAAGAAAATGTCCAAGATGCTGTTTTCTGAGGCAAGCAGTCACTATGTGCAGCTGTCATACGCAAAGACAGTCAACAAGATGGCTGATTAAATACTGATTGATTGCAACCGAGGCAGCACGGAATCATAGTGGGGCAAGAAAAGTCCTAAGCTCCTACCAAGCAACATTTTATAGAGCTCGGACGAACCATGTGTGTGCCAGTCTTCACTGAGCCGAGATAGGAAGATTTATTCAGCTGTGGTTATGGTCTGCTTCATCCCCATTACTCCAAACACCTCTCCCTGCAGAGAGAAAATAAAAGGCTGCATCCCTTATTTGTGTGAACTGGCATCCTGAGAAGTCTATTACTTTACTACACGCTGGCAAGCTTCTAAGCAGCGAGGAACTGGTGCGGGAAAGAGACACTCCATGTCCAAGGATGAAGCTATTATGTTTGAACGGACGGCACCGGTTTGATCCCAAGGATCGCCGTGTTTCGCTTGTAGCCACTAACCCATTTTGACAGCTGAGATGGAGGCTAGCGGCTCCGCTGGGTGCGTACAACTTGCTGCTTCATTTGTGTGTAAATAGGCACTGACAGAGAGTAGCTAGTTTCATTATCAGAAATAAGGTTGCACAGACTGAACACATCAGAGACATTTACAATCTTACAGCTCCACACTTTCCTTGTTTGCACCTTCTAAAAATAGGCCGGCGTCTGTTGCTAAGGGTGTGCGATTTCTCCTCTAAGCCATTTCTTTCTAGGAACAAAAAGGATGTTGAGTGTGCACAATGTTATTTGTAATGAAATCAAATTAAAAAGCTGCTCAGGACTGCTTCTACTGTGGGAAGCGAAGATAACGTTTCATGCGTTTTTATTTTGCTGCACACCTCCATGCCTTGGTTTTCCTGTAATGGTTTAAAGAAGACTTCTTTCCTGCACCCCAGTATCTACCAGTATCTACCAGTCTACTGTTTCTATGCTAGCTTTAGACAATGAGTTCTGAATTAAATAAGGGGAACCTTTTCTTCTTCATTCCTACTTTCAGAGCATACTTTGGTATTACAGTGTAGAGACCTACGAAGGGTGCAAAGTAGAGTAGAAAAACACATATCTGTTGAAAAGATTGTCAATATATTTAGGGAAGGGAAGTCTGAGATTGTCATCATTGTATGTTCTCATACAATGGCAAAATTAGTTCTCTGCATTTAACTCATCACATGTGAGATACACCCAGGTGGAGCAGTGGGCAGCTACCTAAGTGCCCGGGGAGCAATTGGAGATTAGGGGTTTTGCTCAAGGACATCACGACATGTGGGAATGGATGGGAGTTGAACCACGGCTTTATGGTCCCAAGTCGGCTGCCCTGCCTCTACCCCATCTCCTTTTCGTCACTCTTTTCTTTACCATTCTGCCTAACCATAGATCGATTTCTAAAATTCAGCCTTTTCTTGAGTATTTCCTTTTTTACTGCCCCGCCGTCTACCCAGGTGAGGACTAATTATCTTCTAAAACCAGCCATTTGAAGGAGATTTTATTCAGCAAAATGCTGAGGGCTGCAAACCAAGGTGTGTGTGTGCAAAGTAGTTCAAGGGAGCAGAAAAGAGGATATAAGAAGATAAGTGAAAGAAAGTGGCAGCAAAGAAGAGGGGTGGGGGGTGGAAGACAAGTGATGGAAGGACAAGTAGGCAGAGGAGTGCAGAGAGTGAAGGCAGGTCTTGACTTCATTTTCTCTGTGGGGCGGTGGGGGTTGGGTGGAAGGCAAAGGGGGGTGGGGGGCAAATCCTTTTTGGAAGTGTGACATTTGGCATAACAGGATCCTGTCAGCAGGCAAGCCACAGGCCTTACACACAGGAAAGGAGGATGGTACAGGGTAAATGTTAGGTTGCGACCATCAGAGATGTGCTCGGATGCCGTGTGTATGAACAGACAGACAGTGTAGCTACAAGTGAGTGTTCAGGCTGAATGAAAGAGGCTCTGGGTGAGTAGGTGGCAGGTATGACAGGCTTATTGTGTGCTCTTTTCTTTCTTTTGTCTTTCTTCGGATTTTCCCCATTGAGGCCCTTTCCTCCATACTTTCCTTCCTCTAGGTAACATTATCAAAGAGAAGGTCATGCAGCTGATCAGCTGTTCCTGTGAGCTCTACGTGTAGTGATGGGGGTGTATGTACCATTTATAATTATGCAAGTTTGACTGCATATGCACATAATTTGGCAAGTGTATGTGAGCATAATTGTGAAGTTCTTGAGTGTTTCTGCAAACACCTACGTGCATGCATAAACATGTCTTTTTGCTGGTTTCATGGCTTCAAGTGGGCAATGTGCAACTGTGTGGGGGCAAGACATTAGGTGCCAAAACATGGCACAATGGTCAAGATAAAGGAATGCACACAGCCTAAGTCCATTTGGACAAGCGCCGATCTGGAGACTCACCATCGATTGGCCACGCACAAAGCCAGGGTTCATTTCCTAAAGGGCTTTTGGGATGAGTTCTTTATGCCAGCCAAGAAAAGCTGAGACAATCCAGTGGCTGCTCAAGCAGCCACACATCCTGCAGCATAAAGGAAATCTTTGTGGCATTGGCTCGACCAATGATTCATTTAAAAACACTTGCCAACATGATAGCCTCACTTCACTGACATGAGTGTGCAATAAAAGCTAAGGATTTAGCTGTTAAATATATGCTATTTCATCTTGCTGCATTCTCTAGCTTTCTAGCACTAAAGAACATTAACAGTAGAGTTTTTATTAAGAATTCAATGTTTTTAAGAACTTTTCGCAAAGAGCCTCTCAAATATTGCAGTTTCTAACATCAAGCAACTGTTTGTGGTTTAATAGATGGACAACCAACAAAAATAGTTTAGACTTTTTGAATTTTTTTTTTTTAGAAAGTTGAGTATTTGGAAATACAGCAACAATGTAAAAGTTAAATCAAGTTCAAGTCAAATTTATTGTCATTTCTATCACGTGGTACATGAGGTGGAATGAAATTATCAGGGTCCCAGTTAATCCCAAAAATAGCAAAATATAAAGTATAAAAATAAACAGTAAATAAGTATCTAAGATATAAACTAAGATAAATGCTAAAAGAACGCCAAATGGTACGTTAAAAGATCTAACATATACACTACGCACTAAATCAATACAGCGTAACAATAACAGCATGAACATGAGTCTGCAGTGAGCAGATGGGTATGAAGGAATCCAGCAGCATGAAATAATCACACAGAAACTATTAGATTGTGTAGCCCATATATGATGCAACAAGAAAATGAGACTATAAAATCATTTACACAATAAATTATAACATCACAGTTATCTATGAACTTAAGAAAAAATAACTGAAGTACATTTTCTACTGAATAAACTTCATGGCACAGTGGCCAAGGTTGATGGGGAATTGAGCCCAATAATGCAGACTCAACTAACCCTAACCCTAACCCTAACTTTAATAAAGAAACTAAAGAAAAGGTGGGCATGGCAGCAACAATTAACATGGACTGAGAAAACACAAGGAGTCTCAAAATGAAGCTTAAGCAATGCTAAACTTAAAATGGCATGGGAACTGAGGGCATAAAAAGGCTAAAGGCATGAGGGATCTGGAAAAAACAACAACTCTGAAACACATACAAAAACAACCACAAAAGAAAATGATATAAAATTAACCAACTAATAAAATAACTAACAATAACAAGCCAAAAGACACGGGCCCCGACAGCTCCAATGTACTCAAATCTTTTTTTATCAACAAGTTTATAACTAAAAATAAGTAAGTATCTTCCAGCTGCTCCCTTCTTCAGGGGTCGCCAAAGCAAGCAAACTCACATAAAATATTTGGCAATTTGTTTTACGTCGAACGCCCTTCCTGAAGCAACCAGGGCTCGGACCCGCAAGACCGTGGCAATGACCACCAAGATACTTAAGCCCAAAGTTTATAACTAAAAATATAAACATAAATTTAGGAATGTTAAAAACGGGGGCGGCATGGTGGTGTAGTTGGTAGAGCTGCTGCCCTTCAGTGACAAGGTCACCAGATCGAATCCCAGTTGGGGGCCATTCTGGGTGAATTTTCCTTTTTCTCTCCATGCATGACTTTTTTTTCTCCGGGTAATCCAGTTTCCTCTCACAGATCAAAAACATGCATGTTAGGCTGATTGGTAACTCTAAATTGTCCCTAGCTGTGAGTGAGTGAGAGAGAGTGAACGTTTGTTTGTCTCGTTTGTCTCCATGTGGCCCTGTGATGGATTAGAGACCTGTCCAGGGTGTCCCCTGCCTCTCGCAAAGTGGCTGCTGGATATGGGCACCAGTGACCCCCATGACCCAAAAAGGAAGAAGCGGGTAAAAGATAATGGATGGATGGATAATAACATAGGCTATAAGTGGTCTAAACCTAGCCTGAGATATGACCGTCACAGCTTGGTACACCATCCAGTGCTTACTGGGTAGCACTGTCTCAAATCTAACATGGAAAGTTGTTAATTTCTTAGAAATAAAGACAGCAATATTCCAGAATAATTTCATTTTGCAGTTGCAATTATAGAGGCAATCTCGGACCAAGAATAAATGCAAGATTGAGGTGTAAATCTGGGCACTTATTGTGCCATCGAAGTGTGTGATTAAACACTCAGTTTAAGTTGTCACAAATGACTCATCATCTAAAGCACTTTATTTTTATAGGATAATCAAATTTTTGACAACCGCTGATTGAGACTTTCAACATGACCAATCAGTAGAATACCCCTGACAGTGAAATGGCTTATCATTAAGAATAAATGGCCCTTTTCACAACTGTTTTTCTTTTCTTTATTTATTTTTTACTTGTAAAGGCAAAAGTTTTAAACACGGTTATTAAAACTTTAATAATGACCATTTAGGTGCAGCACAAAACAC